CGGTAGAGTTGCCACGTCAATTCTGAAGAGCCTCTCTCTATGCTAGACCTTTTAACGGGTTCACAGAGAGAAATCAACATCTCTGAAGGAGTAGACTAAACAGCTGGGAACACTGAGCCACCTGCGTCCGACACTCATGGCCTCAAGGATTTCACATCTTAGAGTCCACAAACACCGATAAAGAAGTGCCTCAGTGTTCTCACAACAATTACCCTTCGTGCCAGACAAGTTGACCGGTCACAAACTGGTGACAACAACACATATGGCACCAAGGCCTTTCCTTAAAGGAGATAACAGACGTCAGAGTAGATCATAAAATGTCACAGAGCAAAAGGTTAGATATCTAGAAGAATTATTCCTTAACAACATCCAATCACAGAGCTTGAGAACTAATCACGGGGTTTATCAAACAAAGCACATGGTGTAGTCCCAAACGATAGCTGAGGATTCTGGGTAGTGTAGTGTCTTCTGCCATCCTAAACTCCAAAAAAATATTTGTTTCTCCGAATCGAAGGGGAAAAATACAAAAGCATTGCACACAATTTAAACCAATCAATGTTGTGTAATTAACAAGGATAATCTGGTGTTTTTGAGTTGATGAGTAGTGCAGATATCACTGTAAAATCAATCGACAGTAAGGAGAATAGTTACTTCCGGGTGTAAAATCCTCCGTTATCCAATGGGAATGGACGCTCACATTGCCTTTAAACAGCCGCCGACATAAACGGATGCGGTACTTCCATGAGCGTCAAATACCGCCGCCGATGGGAATACATTGCAATCAGTTGAAAGCTCTTTGAGTCCGTTTATGAAGCTGAAGGAGCCTCGGCGCGTCCCAACTGCATGCCACGGGACCCTGACCAAGCGTCGCTGCTGGACGTTTAGGGAGTGAGAGTGTGTTTGAAAAACATGTCTCTGGCTGAAACAGCTGAGAAGTTATGGGGCTTTGAACACAACGTGATATTTGGGATCGTATACGACCCCGTGGGTCTCAGAGGGTTAAATAATAATTTATTTGTATAAAATACAATAAGCCATAAAAAACAATTAAATAGGTGTGTACCTTTTATCCAGCATAGTAATACAATGCTGTATTGATTTGTTACCCCCCAGTCCTTGTTACAGGACTGGGTCCTATGAAATGGAAACTATTGAAAGAATCACGACTTAAATTAAAAACAGTACTTAAAGTAGACTTTCCATAGAAACATTATTATTCATAGAAAAAGCTCTAAATTCAATAATAAAAGGTCTGTATTATATTTCAGAATCAGAAGTCAGAATCAGAAACGGGTTTATTGCCAGGTAGGTTCACACGTACGAAGAATTTGACTTGATGTCATGGTGCATACATAAAAATGTAAAACAATTTTTTTTTAAAGTACACAGATAGCGAACTATAAAGAACAGCATATCAAACATATCTGATCATAGTCAATGGGGCACATAAATGATCTGTTAAAACCAAATGTGTAAAAAATGCCAAAACACTAATTAAAATTACTTTTTACATAATGTTGTTCTAATATAGGTAAATTAGATTATTATATATTATTAGAGTAATTGAATTCAAATATATATTTTTTATTCTATTGGTAATTTATTGACGGCCCCTAAGTAAAGCCTCTGTGCTTATGAGATGTGATGTGAGATAATCCTCCTTAGACTGCCAACCGTCCGTGCAACTGAGTGAGAAGACCGGAGTGAATGACTGTTGAATGTCCAACCTAAAACTATCTTTATGTATGATAGCAACTTATTTCCTTTAAGGCAGTTTATAAAAGTGAAACAGTAAAATATAAATAAAAAAGGGAGTCATTCTGCAGACTCATTTAACATTTCTGTATGAAGTCACGTTTAGATTTAACGTTTAGATTTACTGATAGTGTATTTAACAAACTTAAACTAGCTTTATTAAATGTCAGGTCTTTGGCAGGAAAAACATTTTTAATCAATGATTTTATCACTGAGCACAATCTCGATTTTATGTTTTTAACGGAAACTTGGATTGAACAAAATAACAGTGCAGCTGTTCTTATCGAATCAACCCCTCCCAACTTTAGTTTTATGAGTCAGGAAAGAATGCATAAGAAAGGGGGTGGAGTTGCTATTTTGTTCAATGATTCCATTCAATGCAGGAAGACATCTTATGGGGACTTTGCTTCTTTTGAATATGTGGCCCTTCAGCTGAAATGCTCCTCTCGAGCTCTGTTCCTAAATATCTATAGACCACCCAAATACTGTGCAAGCTTTTTTGATGATTTTACTGAACTGCTGTCTATAGTGTGTATTGACTTTGACCGTTTAGTCATTGTTGGTGATTTTAACATCCATGTTGACAACCCCCAGGACAGAGGGGCTAAAGAACTGTTTTGTGTTCTTGATAACTATGGACTGACTCAGCATGTGGCGGAGCCCACGCACAATAAGGGGCACACTCTGGACTTAATTATCTCAAAGGGTCTGAATATCTCAAAGGTTGTGGTGACTGATGTTGCACTCTCTGATCATTCCTGTGTTTTCTTTGAGAGCTCTATTTCTGTTCACAAAAATGTTCAGAAAGAGGTAACCACAAAGCGATATTTAACAGAAAATACTAGGGAAATGTTTACTCATAATTTTTCATCCACACTTGCCCCTGCTAACATCTCAGTAAATGAGCTAGTAGATCATTTTAATTCAAAAATTAAAAATGTTATAGATACCATTGCTCCAACTAAGGTAAAGGAAGTGATTAGCAAGAAAATATCTCCATGGAGAAAGGCCATGACCGTGAGAACAGAAAAAAGAGAGTGTCGAAAAGCTGAACGTAGGTGGCGAAAAACAAATCTCCAGGTTCACTTTGAAATCTATAAAGAGAGACTTGGCCTTTATAATTTGGAATTGAAAAACGCACGACAGTCTTTCTTCTCTGACATTATTACCAAAAACAAAAACAACGCACGTGCCTCGTTTGCTACCGTCGACAGACTAACTAACCCCCCAGTGTCAGTAGCCTCTGAATTTCTATCCACCAGGGCGTGCAATGATTTTGCCTCCTTCTTCACTGACAAAATTCAGAAAATTAGACAAGCAGTCAGTGCCTCTACATCAGGTACAGCAAATGTTTTGTCCCTATGTCCACCTAATATCAATTCAAACACCATGACACAATTCCATCAGATTAATGGTAAAAACTTAGAGGACATTATTCAACTTCTGAAATCCTCCTCCTGCTGCCTTGATATTATTCCAACAGGATTTTTCAAAGATGTTTTTCCTTGCATGGCCTCAGATCTACTTCATATAGTAAACACATCTCTTCACTCAGGTATTTTTCCAGAGGCCCTGAAAACTGCAGTCATTAAACCGCTCTTAAAAAAGAATAATCTAGATGCCTCAGTAATGAACAATTACAGGCCAATATCAAACCTGCCATTTCTAGGTAAAATCATTGAAAAAGTTGTATTTCAACAGTTGAGTAACTTCTTGCATTTAAATAACTGTTTGGATGTGTTCCAGTCAGGATTTTGTCCAAACCACAGCACTGAGACTGCTCTTGTAAAGGTCTTCAATGACATCCACTTAAACACAGACAGTGGCAGAACTTCAGTGTTAGTATTATTAGATCTCAGTGCTGCGTTTGACACTGTTGACCACAACATATTACTAGACCGACTAGAAAACTGGGTGGGACTTTCGGCAACAGTTCTAAATTGGTTTGAGTCCTACTTAAAGGACAGAAAAAACTTTGTTTCTATAGGTAAATACACATCTGAGTTGACAAATATGACATGTGGGGTACCTCAAGGCTCCATCTTGGGGCCTCTTCTCTTTAACATCTACATGCTACCACTGGCTCAGATAATGAAAAACAACAAAATAAGTTACCATAGCTATGCGGATGACACACAAATTTACGTAACAATTTCAGCAGGAGATTATGCTCCAATTCAAACACTGAGTAAGTGCATTGAACAAATCAATGACTGGATGTGTCAGAACTTTCTCCAATTAAACAAAGATAAAACTGAGGTAATGGTTTTTGGAGCCAAGGCAGAACGTATAAAAGTTAGCGCTGAGCTTCAGTCTGCAATGTTCAAAACAACAGATAAAGCCAGAAATCTAGGTGTAGTCATGGACTCTGACCTGAGTTTCAACAGTCACATTAAAACAGTTACTAAATCAGCCTACTATCACCTAAAGAACATATCTAGGATTAAAGGACTAATGTCACAGCAGGATTTGGAAAAACTTGTCCATGCTTTTATCTTCAGTAGACTCGACTACTGCAATGGTGTCTTTACAGGCCTCACTAAAAAATCTATTAGAAAGCTGCAGCTAATTCAGAACGCCGCTGCTCGAGTCCTCACTAACACTAAGAAAGTGGATCACATCACTCCTGTTCTGAAGTCCTTACATTGGCTTCCTGTGTGTCAAAGAATAGATTTCAAAATATTGTTGCTGGTTTATAAAGCTTTGAATGGTTTAGGCCCAAAATACATGTCTGACCTACTGCTAAATTATGAACCATCCAGAACTCTCAGGTCTTCAGGGACTGGTCAGCTTTCTGTCCCCAGAGTCAGAACTAAACATGGTAAAGCAGCATTCAGTTATTATGCTCCAAATATCTGGAACAAACTCCCAGAAACCTGCAGGTCCGCTGCAACTCTTACTACTTTTAAATCCAGGCTGAAGACTTTTCTTTTTGCCGCTGCTTTTAATTGAACTATTCACATCTTAAACTGCACTGTAACTTTTAACTTTTATCCATGTATTTTTTCTTTTAATGTTTATTTTATTATTTTTTCTTTTTAATGACTGATTTTAAATGCCATTTTTAAAATGTCTTCCATTTTTGTAAAGCACTTTGAATTACCTTGTGTTGAAAGGTGCTATATAAATAAACTTGCCTTGCCTTGCCTTGCCTTGCCTTGCCTTGCCTTGCCTTGCCTTGCCTTGCCTTAGATGAAACCCTGTGTCTGTGTTTACTGCATTGTCTGAATAGTTTTGAAACCTGTTTTTCTTTCTATTGTATAACACATCAAGTTCATCTGTTACAGCCAAAGCCTCTCATGTTCAGTTAGGGCTCAGACGATCATGCTGGCAGAGGGTAAACGCAGATGAGCACTTTCTGTCTTCTTTAAATACAAATTAATCAAACTTATCATTTATTTATTGATTAATTTAAAGAAAAAAAAGCTATTGTTTAAATTGGTTGAGCAATATATTCTCATTATAATATTTAAACAATATATATATTGTGACATTTTTTACGTTTATTCATATATATCTGTTGCATATTTTAGGTTTGTTCCAAGACACAAGGATGAAAGGCTACATTTTCGTTGTTGTGACCTTGATATTTTTATTATCATTCTCACGAAATACGGTAAGAGTACCTTTATTGTTCTACTTTCTGTCAAATCATGATGTATTTCATACTGCAGTGTTTCATTTCGTAAAGTTTAGAGCAGGAATTAATTACGTATTGTTTTGACGAAAGTTTTAAGCGTACCTGTTTCCCAAAAAAACTATCATTAGATAGAATACAATAACGTTATTTGTGTTTCATGTTGTACATAACATATTATATTACTACATCTGTTAATATGATCAAATGTCTTTGTTCACAGGTCGGAACATTGATAGTGGGTAAGTTGTAGTCGTTTATTTGATCAAATATAACAAGTATACTCATATAATTCATCAATGTTACTTTATATGGCAACCTCTCAATTTTTTTAGACATTGGTGACGACAAGAGCATTGAAGAGGCAAACAAGGGTAGAGTCAAACATCTTCATATCATTCAATGGACCTGTGTTAATATTGCTGTTTTCACGTTCATACTTAACTGCAGCACCTTTCTTTGTTTAAAAACACAACCCTTTTATGCTTTATCTTAGATTTTTTACATGATGATATCCTGAAGGTTGGTTTTTTTTGTTGTAAATTATGAAATTGAAACTTGGTTTATATGATTATTTTCCGTCACCCATTACATTTCTTATAAATCTTCTTAGGCACCACCAACAACGCAGAGGAGTGCCATTACTGATGGGGACAAACTGTGGACATCTCCAGTCCCATACGTTTTGGACAAAGACCTTGGTAAATATAATTGTTCCTGCATTAACCAAAAAATGTGTCTTTGGTAGAGAGAACAGCTATGAGCCATGTTAGGGAGTTTGTTAAATATTTTATATCATTGACCTAACCAGTTTATTGGAGTCAGTTCCTGGGAGATAAGAACCAGATAGCAGCAGCAAATTGTCGTGAACAAAGCTCCTTTGCCATGATCTTAATCATTAACGGCATCCACCAGAGCATACATATTCCAGTAATGTTCCCAGGAAAGAAAACGCCACCTAAACTATGCATTCATATTATAATTTACTTGTTCTTCTTCTATTTGAAAAATCCCCATGAACAATGGCAGAGATGAATGCTAAAGGACTCACCCTGAAAGCCTTTGACCAGTTCAGGTTGAAGTCATGTATTGACTTCAAACCAAGGGACTCTGAGGAGTATTACATCCACGTCCAGAAGTTAGATGGGTATGTTTTTTTTGTTCTGTCTTTACCATTCCTTTGTTGTTAGCTTCTTTGTCCACAAAAAAATTCCTCAACATTACATCATTTCATAAGTACGTGGTTGACCATGTTTTGCTTCTGGATGTAAATGAGCTGCTGTGATTTAGGGGCATGTTTGATAAATATACGTCTTTGTTCTTTCTACTATACACATATTTTTTACTTTCACTATGAATGCTTTTGATAAACGAGGCCTGGTAAGGTCAGTCAAAATGCTGTTGCTGATGCTCTTTCTCATTTTAGATGTTATTCATATATTGGGAAAGTAATACCCAACGGACAGGACCTCTCCATCGGGTCTAACTGTGATTCCATCTCAACGGTTGAACATGAGTTCCTCCATGCTTTGGGCTTCGACCATGAACAGTCCAGATCTGACAGAGATGATTATGTGACCATTGTTAACAAGAACATCAGAGAAGGTTTGTTAAAGATTCTTATTAAACATGCCTCTTCTTTATATTTACAGGATTATATCAAGGTATATAAAGGACCTACAATGAGTTGGAAAGAAATAAGTTATTAGAATAATTAGTCCATAAACATATCATCAATATTTTTGGCTACATACAGACGGTATAATCAAAAGTATTTCAAATATAAATTGGTGGCAAGATAAATGTTGCTGAAATTAAAACAATGAATACATAACATTATTCCAAACAATCTTTTTCATATCTTAATAAGTTTAAACAAATAATGGTTGGCTTTTATATGTCTTTATCTAGGCCGTGAGGAGAATTTTGACAAACAAAGCAATGAAACCACCACCACCCAGGGAGTCCCGTACGACTACTGGTCAGTGATGCACTACGGCAAAGATGCTTTCAGCAATGGCAACGGGTCAACTATTATAACCAAAGACCCAAAGTTCCAGGATGTGATTGGTCAAAGTCTGGAAGTGAGTCCCAAAGACGCTCTGGAGCTGAACCTCCTCTACAAATGCAGTAAGTGTTTGAAAGTTGGTGGAGATATAATAATGCTATTTGCAGCCCAGCAGGTTTTCAAGCGGCATTTTAATTAACTCAGGGACTTTACCTGTGCTTTTACCTGAGTAAAATTATAATTGACTACAGCACAAGCCTTAACTAAAGCTATTCTTCATTCATTCTTATCAAAAGCAAGATAAGAGCTTACTTAATTTAGCTACGGACAAAAAGTTTATTATTCCACCGACTTATTTTGGCCCTCTTCTCCTCCCACATTCAACATCGCAGAAACTCCGTTCAAACATCAAAACGTTCAGCTCGGTCGGGAATCACAGGCTATTACTTTTCTCATTCATAACTTTCATAATTCCAGAGATACATCCAATAATTCATCACATTTTTTAACATTTTAACTTTAACATTGCACAGCTCGTTAAGGCAGAGTGCGTGATGTCACAGCTAGAGTGGAGCAAATCTTGAAATTTGCCTTCATATATTTTTTTTAAACTGCCATAATTCCCAAACCCTACATTCCTGAGACATACTTTTTCATGACAAACGAAGGAAAACATCTCGTAGCTTGAAAAATGACAAATAATTAAGCAAAAATAATTAAACAAAATGCCTCTTGAGGGCATGAAGTGACAAAAACGTTCAACATGTCTCCATTAAAACCCATTGTAATTTCAGGCTGATATTTCCTCACATCAGCAGCCGCACACCTTTAGTTAAACTGCCAAAAAGGCCACAGTATTAACCCGAAAGTACACAAAAAGTACACTTCAGATACTCAACTTCCTTGACATGCTTCACGTTTTGAAATTTCACAGATATCTGTTATTGTTCTTGCACAAAACGTTCACATGTAAGAGGTTTATCTCTCATTCAGAACAATGCAAACCTTTGATCTCTACAGAGCTCATTAGCTCAACTATAAACACCTGTGCAATGGAACACGATGATGTCATCACTCCAACTGACATGCTCAGAGCAGCAGACTTCAGATAATGGTTAATGGTCGTGCCCTCAACAGCTCTACGTCAATTATGGGGTGTCATCATATGCCGTTCAAGAGAAGAGAGAGAGGGCGACCAAGAGTCAGGGGGCTAGAGAGCGTCGCTATCTATAGATATCTAGTCGCGCGAGAGAGAGAGAGAGTAGATGACGAGATGAGAGAGAGAGCAGAGAGAGGAGAAGAGAGAGAGAGAGAGAGAGAGAGGAGGGAGAGAAGAAGAGAGAGAGAGAGAGAGAGAGAGAGAGAGAGAGAGAGAGAGAGAGAGAGAGAGAGAGAGAGAGAGAGAGATAGAGAGAGAGAGAGAGAGCGATAGAGATGAGAGAGAGTAGATAAACGAGTAGAGAGTAGAGCAGAGAGAGAGAGAGAGAGAGAGAGAGCTCTCTCTCTCTCTCTCTCTCTCTCTCTCTCTCTCTCTCATCTCTCTCTCTCTCTCTCTCTCTCTCTCTCTCTCTCTCTCTCTCTCTCTCTCTCTCTCTCCTCTCTCTCTCTCTCTCTCTCTCTCTCTCTCTCTCATCAATGTTCCAAACGGCCCAAAACTTCACAGGTTTGGTAACGATGCAGCCATCAACGCATCTAAGCGTATTATGGGGTGTCATCAAATGCCGTTGCCATGGCGACAGATCATTCACCATCAAGTTAGTTCAAAAGTTTGCAGTTCAAATATTCTGCTGCTTTTCCAAGCCTTTTTACTTTCTTTTCTTCACTCATCACACATTCAAGCCCCCAGTGTTCATGTATCATTTCAATCTAAATTCTTCACTTTCTTCTTACACATTACATTTCAGCATAGCAGTTTAGCGTCAGCTTTTCAGCATAAAGCATTCCCACTAGCAATTTCTTCAGGAATTGCATTCTCTAGTTTTGATTTCATACCCTTCATTCAACAAAGAGTCCGCAACCCAATGTTCTCTATCTTACTCTACAGAGTCAACCATTGCATTTCAGATGACATGCAGCTTCCCTGATGAGACCATGTGTCAAATGACTAGCTGTTCACAGAGTGGGCTTGGCTGGGAAATGGTAACAAATGTTACAGGGGGTCCTATGTCTGACCACACCAATCTACCCAGTGGCAGTGGTGAACAAGGTAAGATTTCTTAAATCTAACATTACATGTGTGTACTTCAAATCTTTCCCTGACAATTAATTAAAATATATAATATTCCTATCCAACTTTCTTATGCCACCCCTTATGTCATGTTATCTTTGAACTGTTGAATAGTATCCCCACAGAAACTGATTAAAAACACAAATATATAACTCCTTATTTTTGGGACAATACACATTCTAGGTGAAGATGCAGGTTACTTCATGCATGTTAGCACGGCATCAGGTGAGGAGGGAGACTCGGCCTGGCTGGAGACCCACAGGATGAGTCTCAATAGGGAGCATCATGTCCAGTGTCTCCAGTTCTACTATTACCACAGTGGGAACATGTCAGACCACCTCAACATCTGGATCAGAGAGTTTCAGGATGAATGGGACCTCGAGGGAACCCTACGCCTCATGGGACAGATCACTGGTAATGTACTATCTGGTATCATCCTCTATAAATTGTGTTTAAGAATCTTGTGTTTGAAAGCTATATATCTCATGCGCCTGTTAATATTCAACAAATGCAATTCAGACATTACAAAATTCTTCCTCCAGGCGGGCCAACAAAACAATGGAAGCTCCATCATGTGTCCCTGAATGCCACCAAGCACTTCCAGGTGGAGTTTGAGGTTCGTAAAGGAGCAGGAAGCTCTACAGGCGGCTTCTCAATCGATGACATCAATCTGTCAGAGATCGAATGTCCACATGTAACCCTGCAGCTTGATGACTTTGAGCAGGCTTTGAACTCTAGTAGTTTTGGCACCCGTATTTACAGCCCTCGGCAATACTCCAGCGGGGGATATGCTTACAGAGTTGGGGTTGTGTTGGATATTTCATTTTTCGGATTGTTTGTGCAACTCGTGTCTGGTGAAAATGATGACCGGCTGGAGTGGCCTTGCCTACAAAGGCAGGTGACCTTCAAAATGCTGGACCAGAACGCCAACATACAGCTGCAGATGTCCAAGCAATTTAGTATCACCAGTGACCTAAACACATCCTCTGATGGTAAGTCTAAAAGAACATACAAAAGTGAATTACCTAAATGAGAAGCTTCTGGTTCAGCACGCTGACACTGTTTCCTTTGGTTATTTAGCTGCAATGATCTATTGCTTTCTTTAAACAGGCAGCTATGAGTGGGGTAATCCTCGTCTGGTTGGATCTTCCTACGTAGATGACAATGGTGAAACCATCTTTGCCGGACCTATGTTTCGCAGACCCTATTTTGCCGATAAAAATGATTTGGAGACCAGAGAGTTCCTCAAGGGGGGAAGTGTCATCTTCGTCTACAGCTTCCAAGGCAGGCTGGAATTTGTTTTTGTTAATGCTTAAATTGCTTGCAATTCTAATAACATCTAAATTAAATAATTGGATTTAAGTTTTGTTGCGGATAATTACTCAAACTTTATTATTTTCTAGATATCACCCCGCTAGTCAATGGAAGTGCCCTGCCAAGTCCTGAAGTGGGACCAGTGGAGATCAAATATCCTCCCAAAGATCTGAACAGAGGCCCTTGCTCATCAAAGTAGGACTTTTTATTATCAAATGATTTATTTTAGCTCTTAAACAACCTCTTATTTTAAAACAAAACTTTAAAACATTTTATCGTCATGTTAAGCCATATATATTTGAATATGCCTTTCATATGATGCTATGGATTTTACAGCACCACCACCCAGCCTCCCAGAACCACAAGTGACAGGTATTCACATTTACTCACACGTTACACTTTTTGTAAACTGTGAAATCAGTGAGCTTTGAAAATATTAAAATCAGGGTGTAGGGGTTTATCACTTTGTTAAATATATATAAAAACAGGTTTCTATTTGCATAATAAGTCATTTTGAATGATGCTGTGCATTTTACAGCACCACCCCCCGTGATCCCCCCAGAACAACAGATGACAGGTATGCATATTTACTCACACAAATAACACTTGCAGTAAATTGAAAGCTATGAAAACCATGGGCTCTGAAAAGCTTAAGTTGATGCTGTCGAATATGAAAAACCAATCAGACATCTTTGTTGATATTGAGCTAATTACATTTTCACATGCCTTTCCAATGGGGCTATGCATTTTACAGAACCACAACCAGTGATCCCATGATGACAACAGATTACAGGTATTCACATGTAGTCATTTGTAAGCCATAATAACAGTGGGCTTTGAAATTCTTAATTTGATGCTGTTGAGAATCAACTTATGATTTATGATGTTACATATTTATATATAAAAACAGGCCCCTATGTTCAAATCAAGCATGAAAGTCCATTTCTAGCCCAGACACAAAAAGCAATTCGATTTTGATATGCTTTTTAAATCATGCTATGCATTTTACAGCACCACCTCCGATAACTCTCCTGGAGTCACGGATGAAAGGTATTCCCATTCAATAACAAACCTAACACTTGAAAATATTTGTAAGCTGTGAAAATCTTAATTTGATTCTGTTGTGGTTAGTCAACTTGTTAAAAATATGTATGTATATTCCTGAAGAAAGTCAATTTCTAGCCATGAAACACAACTCATTTTAAAAACAACATTTAAAGAATGGAATACGATTTGTGTATACTTTTTAAATCATACTATGCATTTTACAGCACCACCACTCTTAACCCTCCTGGAGTCACTGATGAGAGCAGGTATTCACATTTAGACAAACACAATTAACTTGAAGAATTTGTAATATGTGAAAACAGGTGGATCTGAAAACTTGATTTGATGCCTTTTGAATGATGCTATGCATTTTACAGCACCACCACTCTTAACCCTCCAAAAACCACGGATGAGAGCAGGTATTCACATTTACACACAATTGTTACACTTTGTATGTGTAAGCTGTGTAAGCTGTAACAGCAGTGTTTCTTTATATGCTTTTCAAATCATGCTATGCATTTTATAGCACCACCACCAATGATCCCCCGAAGACCACAGATTTCAGGTATTCCTTTCACACGTCACAATTTCAGTCATTTGTGAGCAGTAAAAAAAAGTGGGCTGTGAAAATCTTGATTTGATGCTTCTAAGGTTAATCATCCTCTTAAATATATATAAATTCATATTAGGCAAAAAATTACAGTGATGCTGTCGAAGTTGAACAAAAAACAGATATGTTAAAGGTGGGGTAGGTAAGTTTGAGAAACCGGCTCGAGATCGCTAGAATTTGAAAATACACAACCGGAGAAAATCTTCCACTTCCTTATAGAGCCCCTCCTCCAACACACACGAACGCGCACATGACCAATGAGGGCACAAGATAAGTTTGTGCACAGATGGAAGGCTGACAGGCAGGTAGGCCATCCAGTTATTTTAGCCGGGCCGGCTAAAATGATTGGTCGTGCTTTTTACAGTACTACGGCTTCCACAGATGACATTTTTTTATGGATTTTTTGTCAAAGCACTTAAGATATTCATTGCTATCGGGATGTTAAGAGCATTCCATGGAATATAACAAAAAGTGTATATCGAGCCGGTTTCTCAAACTTACCTACCCCACCTTTAACATTGAGCTAATAACATTTTATAATGCCTTTCCAATGGTGCTATGAATTTTACAGCACAACCACACCTGACCCTCCACAAACCACGGATTCCAGGTATTCACATGTACTTACACACATTACACTTAAAGAAGTGGGTTTTGAAAAGCTTAGTTTGATGCTATTGAGGTTAACCGACTCGTTAAAAACGTATATTCATGAGCATAAAGGTATCTATGCTCATATTAAGCCATTTAGATTTGTACATGCCTTTGTATTGATGTTATGCACTTTACAGCTCCACCACGCGTGATCCTCCAAGAACCACGGATGACGGGTATTTATACTCACACACATTACACCTGCAGTCATTTGTAAACTGTGGAAACAGTGGGCCTTGAAAACCCTAATTTTATGCTGTTAATATTGTTGAATACTGGTCTTTATGTTCATATTAAAGGGGACCTATCATGCAAAATGCACTTTTGTATGTCTTTTATACATAAATGTGTCCCCGGTGTGTCAGGGAACTCACGCAGCGTCAGAAAATAAAACCCTCTCTCTTTTCCTCCGTACCCAAATCTCTAAAAACGGGGGTACAACGTAGCTGATCCAGATTTGCGTCCGATATGACGTAATATCGGAAATGTGGACCCACGGCACTATCAGAAAGTTGCTATCAGAAACAATGCCCGACTGTTTTGGACGTAATATGGTCGGTGTTTACATTAGCATCGCTAACACTCAGAGCTAACCTGTACTGGAGAGCATGTGTGTGAAGAAGCTGGACATAAAAAGGCAAGAGAGAAAGCCTTTGAGCTCCATACTGTTTCAGAAATAATCCTTGATATGGCGTTTCATCACGGCAGTATTTAGTTTAGAGACAGTAGCTGCCGGTCCCGCATGAGCTCAGCCCCCTCCTTTTTAAAAAAAATCAAAAAAGCTTTTTAAAGCTTTATACCCAAAATCAGCACTTTTGAAACAGGAAGTGAAATGGAGGGATATGAGGCATGGCTAGAATGGGTGATCTGTTTGGTATTTTGAGCAAAACACTTTATAGACATCTTTTTTATATATTTGTATATATCTGAGACCTATGCTATTGCCTAAAAATAGCATAATAGGTGACCTTTAAGCAAATTGGATTTTTACCTGCCTTTCTAATGGTGCTATGCAATTAAGAGAACCACCACCAGAGGGTTTTGAAAAGCTTAATTTGATGCCTTTTGAATAATGCATTTTACAGCACCACCACCTTTGAGCCACCAAGAACCACGGATGACAGGTATTCACATTGACTCGCACACTAATGATGCATTCACTTTTAAGCTGTAAAAGAGGCAACTATTTCTTTTTTATACAATGTGGTTTTATATGTTCATATTAAAAAAAACATGTTGTATATGGGACGTGTCAAAAATCCTTATTTTTAATTGATCCATTCCTGTCTTCCGGCTTCAGCATTTTTGGCTTCTCTCCTGGTTTGGTGTGTTCTCCTGTCCTCACCCTCCTGCTAGCGGCAACGCTTTTGATACCTTGAAGCACATCACACCTCAGCTCATGACGGGACCAGTAAATGTGCCATCGTTTTGGCTCTTGTTATAAACACTAATAAAAAAATGGGTGATGAAAAAGGTTAAAGAACTATTGGGAGATGCTCTATGTACTGTATGTGTAGTGTTTGTTGGTGTTAGTCATATCATGATTTATTTGCATATGTAAGAATCAATGAAATTGAGATGCCTGCACTGATGTGTTGTTTAGTCCTTGTTGTATTGATCACTAAGTGGTAGATGTTTTTTTTTTTTCTTCAATTGTCAAATTTCTAATGCAAATTACCATTGAATTAACATTTATGACATACAATTAAAGCAATAAAAGAGACAGCTCTGTTATTGACTGAATTTGATTGTAATTTTACAGATGTTTTCCTATATCTTTTTACAGTCAATAACCTTTAATAAAACTACAGCACTACAACTTTAATGTGCAAACACTGTATTTTTACAGCTTCATCCTCTCTTTTTAAAATCAATAACCTCTAGTAAAAGTACATCACTAATACTTCTACGGGCAAAAAAAACGGTCAAATGACTGGCAGCAGCGGCTGCCAAACAAAAACCATAAAATTCAAGTAAAAAGTGCAAAAGCAATTAATATACAGGAATTGTCCTTAAAGATTTTACAGGAAAACACTTTCCTCTCTTTTCAAAATCCATTGTCTTAAAATGTTACATTCAAATACCTTAAATCAGGGGTCTCCAACACGTTGATCGCCAGCTTTTCAGTGGCTCGCCGCTCGATTATCGATTATAGCAAATCAAGAAGCAACGTTATAGTAACGTTGCTTCTTGATTTTTCGGCCGCGGCTGGACAATAACGTTTTTTTGTTTTTGAATGTTTTCTGTGACACGAATATCAAATTGGTCGGTGACGCAGAGATCAAGGAACAGACGTGACAGCGGCACAGAGACACAGGGATTTGTGTTTTTTTGAAAAACACTCGTTATCGTCATGTCAGGTTTTTGGTGGATTTAATCAAGTCTTGGATTGCAGAGTATGAATGTCCTCTTGCTATTTTCAGTTGATAAATACGTGTGTAAAGTTTGTGAAGGCAGGAGGAAAAAGCTTCCGCGATCACCGTCTCCTCTGTTCCTCCAAACCCCGCCCCCCCCCTGAAAATAATGAGTGACAGGCTAATCGTAACCTGATAGAAACTTTATTATTCACTTAGGCGCCGTTTACACGAGGAGAAAACAGCTTGTATCTGCATAGTTTCGTGTGCGTACAGCCCTATTATTTACACGAGGCCGATAGAAACTGACCCCACAAACGATAACGGGTCCCAAGGTGGATAGATTTGCAAACGAAACGCTCTGGGGGGTCAACCGAGTCCGTGTAATCACCTCTATACGAATATTTCCTTAAAAAATAACGATAGCCCCACCTCTCCTGCTCACTGCTGTAGCAACTATCAAAAATAGCTGTGTTAATTAAACGCACAAGGGGTTCTTGAATGAAATAATATTATAAAAGGCAAACCAGAATTGTTAACGCCCAATATACTCCTTAAACAAAATAAACAGAGTCAGATTTCATGCATTGATCCATTATATTGACAAAGGAGCGATCTCACCCGGTGTTTGTAGAGAATATCTCTCTTTCTGAGTGCGTCCTCTCCACGGAGACGTGCTTCTTGGTCGGTCGATGCAATATCCACAGATTCGGTTGCTTTCAGTTAACTTCCCCGTTGCATTTATCCATATGCTGAGGAAATTACTATATCCCGCTGAATACCAGCAATCGCCACACACACTTCCTCCTGTCAGTAGCTACTGCTAGTGCTACTGCTACTGACCATGCTACAGATATTAGTGCACAATCTACAGCTCCTCTACCACAACCATCAGCAACAAGTGGACATGGAGAATTACATGAACTACATGTTGCTAAATACACCGCGGGCAGAAGGGTAGCCATGGCAACATTGCTGCGGGGCTGCTCTGGGCTGCTCTTCTTCGCTGCTTTTGGTGTATTTTGGCGGAAGTTACAGCGCCACTTACAGTCCCGGCATATGTACTACAGCGTTTCCAGCGGTCTCGTTTGAACAGACACGTTAAATGAAACGAATGCATGTGAACGGAAGACTTTTTTGAATACGCATACTGTGCATAAACGCAAACGTTCCCGTGTGAAAGAGGCCTTAATCACTGATTGAGATATGATGAAGCTAACTTAATCTCATACATTCATGGGATTTATGTAACAGTAAGACAGAGAATGTAAGTGTGCACCCACATGCACTATTTTAGTTTGTATATGCTGTTGTAAATACTCCTGTTGTCTGCTGTGTTCAGACTCAAGTCATGTGTGTGCTGCCACATTCAGGACCTTCAGTGTCCTTTTTTTAAACAGAAGGCCGTTGCTAGAAGCTGCAGCTAGACTGCAGAAGTATTCATTTTTTGTTTTTGAGGATGGAACAATTTCACACACAGATATAGGGAGGCTAGACCTATAGCCTACAATTGATTTATTATGGTTTATAATTTAATGTCAAGACGGGGAAGAAGGAGAAAAAGATGGCTGAACTGTTCAGTGTCAATCCTGTGGAGATGGAGATGGAGTTTATAAATCTCCAAAATCATGTTCAGCTTAAGTCTCAGCAAAACTCAGAACATTTCTGGAGCCTTGTAGACCCAGAAAACTATAAGAACATTCACCAAGCAGCACTGAACATGTCTGCTTTATTTGGCTCTACATACCTTTGTGAAGCAGCTTTTTTCTGACATGAATGTCATGAAATCTAAATACAGAAGAAGACTGACTGATGAACATTATAATGACTCTATTAGAGTGAACCTAATGGCGCATTTCCACCATGGCGCGGAGCGCAGTTTAAGCGTGCCGTGTCGTGCCGGTCCCGTTTTTGGTTCCGGCCCGGGGCTACTTTTTCACCTTTTTTCTGGCCCGACAAAAATGTTGGTTCTATCGAGGCCAACAAGCGGGCCAACAACCGGGCAGAATATGCTAAACTAGTGACGACTGCTGATTGGTCAGAGAGAATCGTCACAATTCTCGCACAAGTTAATCCCTAGCGTTGCATATATTGGGACGCTTGCAGCATTTTTGAAAACAGAGAAGCTAAAAGAAGAAATGGCAAAGAAAAGCACACCGTGGTCGATTGACGAAGTTACAACGTTCCTCCAGCTGATAGCAGATGATAAAATCCAGCGGGAGCTCGACGGCACAACTCGCAACCTAAACGTTTTTCAAGAGGTCTCTGCACTGTTGTCCGAACGCGGATTCTCAAGGACTTTCCAGCAGTGTAGGGAAAAACTGAAAAAGCTTAAGAGTGAGTATAGAGCCGTCAAGGACCACAACGGCCGGAGTGGTTCAGATAGGAAAAGCTGGAAGTGGTTCGACCAGTTGGACGCTATTTATGGCCATAGACCGGCCAACGTTGGGAGGGAGGGAGGCCTGTACTCTGCAACCGCGTTACTGGAGTCCCTGCATGGTAAGTCTTTGCTAACGCTCTGTTATTTGCTTGAAAGCGTTGTGTCCCTATCTATTCTAAAGCTCACTTCTAACAAACAAGTCTATTTTATCCTTACATTTATGTTCTACAACCCAGCTTTTATGGAGCTCCGAAGAGCTACATAGCTAGCTAAGGCAGATAGCATTAGCTAGAGCTATTGTTTGCTACCACCACATGTGCCATTGTTTACGTTCAGTTTTTCTTTTCTACAGTTGTTGTTGCTATTTAGTATTGTGCTGCAGTAGTTTGTGGAATTAACAAGTCATGTTGCTGTTCTAGATGATGCCATTGTCTCTAATGAGGAGGAACAGTCCTGAACAACGGGTGATGGCAGTGTTCCGTCCTCAACATCGTCATCGAATCCAGAACGGACCCCAACTCGACCACACCAGCCGAAGAACCGATACCAACTCAACCACCAACGCCGAGTGCCATCACGACACCGCAGCGTGTGGTTCTAGGTAAGAAATAGGCATGGCAAAACGACTGGAATTGTGACTTTTTTTAAACTTTAGATCATCCATCGTCAGTAATAAAATAAGCTATACCACTGTGTGGAAGTGCTCTGTTACAAGTAAGTAACTAGCTAGTAAGCAGCTAGTACAATTGTGTGTGACATCCTATTATATACATATATTTATATTCATTATCAACAGGCTGGACATAATGTAATTCACTTTCACAATCATTGTAAACATCTAGGGCATAACTGTCTTTAGTTCATCCTTACTGTTGTTCTGCTTATACATGTTATTCTTATATCCTTGTGTGACCTGTACCTGTCCTGTGTTTTTCATTCTTATTGCTAATTCTTATTGCTATAATTATCTTATCATCATACAGGCAAGAGGAAACGAGGAGGAGACGAGCACCTAGCACAGCAGGAACGGCAACTGGCCCAGGTGGATCGGCACTGGCAGCTGACCATGGAGGCTACTGCCCGGGCAAGGGAGGAGGAAATGGCCTTGAGAAGGGAGGAGAACGCTCAAACTCAGGCATTTAACCTAGCCTTCCTGCGCACTCTTGGCCAGGTTCTAGGCGGCAGCCGACGTGGCCCATCTCTTCAGGAAGACGAACCACCTCTGTAATTTAATATTAACATTATTCAGTTTCATCTCTCTTGTTTTTGTTAATTTGCAAATGCAACATTATTACTTTCTTGTTTATTTCTTATCTTTCCTTTTTTTTTTATAATGCCATGCCTTTTTATGCTACTGCAACAAATATTTTATTTTATTTTATTTGTATTGTACAATGCCATGGCTTTTTTATGCTGCAACAAAAACACTTCCCAAATTGGGATTCAATAAAGTACTTCTCATCTTATCTCTTGTTGATAAATGCATCATCTGATTTCCTGCCATAATCTGATTAACAAACTGATTTTCGTGAGCATGTAAACAAAGTCACTGGGTTGCCACTCACACATAAACACACAGTTTTGGAATCCAATCATAAACTGAAATGAAATGTACACGTTTAATTAAAGGGCTTTAAATCAGCAGAACAAAAACACTGAGAATTGTGTCGTAGTCCAACGTTTAAAAAAAATTCAGATTCACATAATTTTGAGGCAGAAGTTATAGGCCTATATTTTTTCTAAATAATAATAAAAATAGGCTACTACTAATAACATTTATGTGGATCTTTAATCCAAACTTTAATTAAACAAAGGAAGCCTACAATATCATTCTCAAAAACAATTGTAAAAATAGCCCAATTAAGATCTAGAACTGAAGATATAAACATTATACATGAATTTATAAAGCAATAAGAAACAACATCAGTTAGGAAAAAGCCCATAAGATAAAAAGTTAATTTTAAGAAGAGATTTAAAGCAAGAAATTGAGTTTGCTAGCTTGAGGTCCTCCTCTAAAACATTATTTGGTAACTGACACATCATTACTTAAAGTCAAAGATTTCCTTTTATAAATAAACTGGAAGGGGGTAT